TTAGTTCTAATAGAAAATATCAACTAAAATTATTTGTTTAAATCTAATGAATATAGGTAATAAAAATAAATTATCAAACAAAAAAAATTAAAAAGGTAGTAAACGAGGAAAGGACCCCACCCCACCTTGCCCCGCCTTAAACGGGTAACGGGGCGGGGAATTTCTTGGTGGGGGTGGGGGTGGGGGCGGCTACCATCCCTAATAATTGGTTCACCAATAACACTTGGCGAAAATTCATTGGAAGTTGAGAAAAAAAAAAACAGTTTCAATAAGGTGATGACATGTACAAATTCTGTACATATGGTTTTTTCTTAGATAAAAATAAGACTTTTAGGGTGTGTTTGATTATAAGCATGAAATTTGTATGGAAAGAACATAAATTTTAGACAATTAAATTATCTAGAATTTATTGGCATGTAAATTATTAATTGAATGTGTTTGATTGATTTAATATTCAACCTATAAATATTATATTGTCCTTTTTTTTATTAGTGGGTAGATGAGAGAGACGGCAAATGAGAATTACCTGGAAAATAAAAATATGCAATTTTCTAAAAAAAATGTTTTCCTTGTTTTTGAGTAAAATATGATCACATGACCAATATTCGAAAAAAAAAATTACATGAAAAAAATGTCAATCAAACGCCATAAAATTAGGAACTTGAATAGAAAATGAACATTTTTCATGGAAAATAAAGTCAATAAAACACACCCTTAGTAAATTTTGATAAAAAATAATGAAATGGGCAAATGGGTGACTAAAAAGTTATAGATCTCATTAATGTATATTTATAATTAATTATTAATTTTGTCTTAAATTTTAATTCAAATTTTATTTTAACCAAGCGCTAAGAATATTAATAGTGTGTAACATATTTTAATTCTTTGGGAATAATTTTTTAGTACGGGATCTTGATTCCGGATCTTGAATATTGATTATTGACTCTTTTGGCTTTTGAGTTCTTGAATTTGATTTTGCTTCTTGTTCCATAATCTTCATTTTCTTGTTATTCAATTTAATTGCTCTAATCCTTGTTCTTGATTCTTGATTGTAATCTAGATTTTTGATTGTGGGTTTCTTGATCTTCCTCTTCAATATATTTTCTCTATTAATTCTTGTGTTGATAAGAAGACACAAAGAATGAGAAGTTGTATTTGAATTGGGGACCATAACCCTATTTATAGTTGGGAAAATTCACAACTCAAGCTTTATCTATCCCAAAATCAAAAATCAAGTCACAAAGTTTAGAATTACAAAAATCAGGTTTTTCATAAATTAATTAATTATATTTCACAATTATTATATTAAATTAAATATTTAATTGTAATATATTATAATTAACCCACCCACCTCCCCTACTGCTCCGGTGACCGGCGACCACATCGGCGACTCTTCTCCGATTAAAGATCAAAAAATTTGTAGGTCACGGATTATTTCGAGATCACAAATCTAAAATTTTTAGGTCACATTTTTTTATCGATCACAGATCAAAAATTTTGTATGTCACGGATTATTTTGAGGTTACAAATCTAAAATTTTATAGGTCACTAATCAAAAAAATTATATGTCACATGTCACGTATTTTCAAATTTATTGGTCACAAATTCATTTTTTAGTTACAAATTATCAATTTTAAAGTCACATTTCCATACTTAGGTCACAAACACAAAAAAGAACCACCACCATCGTTGACCGCGCCACAACAATAACAAAAAACGATCACAACCACACGACCGCCACCACAGATCCACCACCACCGCCCAAAACATACCACCACAGATCCACCACCTCCACAACCACACATCCCCAGATCTACGATATTTTCCAAAACCAGACCCCATCTTCGCGACGGCTGCCATCACCCACATCCCATCCTGCTACTCACCGCCGACATCACCACCACCATAAAATCGACATCACACAAAACACCACCCAAAACCGCCACTATAAATCGCCACCACATAAACACCATCACCACCACCACAGAAAACAACACAAAGCACCACAGCCACCACCATAGAATCGCTACTACAAAAACACCACAGCACCGCAACCGCCAATCTACAGCCATAAAATCGCCGCCACACAAAAACCATCTTACCCTTTTGAATCCTGGAACTTTGACCATTTCGAGATCGTCCATTGGGTATCAGCCTTCCTAATTTTGCAATTGTGGGTTTGATTGGTGTTGCTTCGATGATGAGCTGCTCCGTTTAAATACTAAGGGCTCATAATCCTCGTCCATATCATCCATCAAAAACCCCGACGACGATTCGTGCTCCTTCTGGCCGGAGGGGATGGGTTTGTCCAGAGAGAGAGAATAGAGGAGGCGACGGGTCGCATCTGCAGCAGCGGCACCTTGCTTTATTGACGGTGCCAGCAGTAGCGGCACCTTGCTTTATGACGATAGCCGGCTGGAGCTGGTAATAAGGTGATGACGGTGACACGAGAGAGGAGATCGACGAGAGGGAGGACAGGTAGAGAGAGAATGGGTTTGGGGGAAATGAGGTGGGGGAGGGGATTGATAAATTAGGGTTTTAATATAGTACTTGATTTTTGTAAAAATAAACTTCAAACCTGATTTTTTTAAAGTTATACCTGATTTTTAAAAAGATTAGAGTAAACCCCTGGTTTTATGTAATTTTCCCTTTATGGTTTCCATAATATTTGGCCCATCATCAATTATAAATCTTAATAGATTCGGTCTCTACACATATAATCCGACATACACTTTATTTAGATGCTCTAAGCCCAACAATTTAATTCTTTATTAGATCACTTTAATTGAACTCAATTTTAAGATAGCCTTATACACAATTAATTACATATGTAAGCCCATGTGACAAATTAATAAACCCAACATTAAATTCTTATTATATAAAATATTTTCAGATTAACATTTTTGTTCAAGTGGGATGAGATTTGTACTCTTCTTCATTCTATTATACCCACAATATCAAGGGGACATGAACCGCTATAAATCTTTATGTGTTATCTTTAATTTTCTAAATTTTTTAAACGCTCATACGTGCAATTGAGTAGAAATTAGGGTTTAATCAACAAGAAGCTGCTCATACCTGTAGCATGTAAATATTAATTTATTAATGCTTGGAATAAGACATTATGGCTAATCAGACATGTTAATCATGTACAGATAACCAGTCTTCATTTAATTTCTTGTTTTATGTAATCAGCAATGTCTTCATTTGCAGGCATTCGAATCAGGTCATTTTCTCTTCTCCTAACCCATCGAGAACTCGAAGACAACATCATGCATCACTTTTGAAGCTTCCAAAACTTATGCTTGATGATAAAGCAAATCAATACAAGAGCTGGTCATGAAGAATTTGTGCTGAAAATGACCTGATTTATTGCATATATGAAATTAAAATTCCCGAAATGACACGTTGAAAATGAAAGATTGGAGGATTTCAGGTTGGTGGCTAAGGCATTTTCACTATTTTAGGTTTCTATGTATCGAAGTAAAACCAGTTCACCGTTTTAAGGCACTTTTCTCTCAAGCAAGGAGAAAAATTGTTTTTTCTTTTGTTGCTTAGTGCATGAGCCTTGTGTTATAAGCTATAATGTACGGAAACTTTTAAGATGCAAACGTTTCGTTTCGAAACCGAAACTTTTCAGAAAGATTTTGAAAATTCCAAAAATGTTTCCAATTTTTATTGAAATTCAAAAATTCTATGAGAGCTTTATGGAAATTGATGTAGTCGGAAGCAATAAAATAATAAAATGAACACACTATTGAAGTTCTATCGATTTCAAATGAATAATGCAACACGATTACTTTCTAATTTATATTGATTCTTAGAAATACCAGAAATCAGGGCATAAAAATCTCTTTGATTCACGTACGAATACGCATGATTTGGACTCACTAATTTTGCGTATCAAATATTGAGAATTTAAGGGGTAAGAAAATTCTAAAGTCTAATATTATTATTTTAAATTTAACTTCCTTCGCCATTAAGGCAACAATGCTTATAACAACTAAAAGCATAATTAACGATTAATCCTAATTATTAATTAACTGCAATTAATTACTCATCTTAATTATTAACTAATATAGATAATAAAAATTATTAAAAGTCCTAAAATTGAATTCTAAATTTATTTACAAAAGAAAAACCTAATTGGGTAAATGACCTACTTACTCCTACATAGTTAACGTGAAAACGAATAAAAATAAGAAAATATTTTTAAAAATTAAGGAAAAAAAATAATCAAAGATACTAGAAATTGTTCGATGTCGTGTCCAATATCTCACTGCTGCATTAGAAACTTTTAGAGAACTTTGCAAGAAAAAATCGAGCGCAATTTTAACTTAATTATGGTTTTTGTTATTATACTAAAAGAATTAGGGTTAATTTCACAAATGGTCACTGAAGTTACCTGAAAATTCCAATACGGGCACTGATGTTTGAAATTTCTTTCAAAATAGTCACTGAATTTTCAGATTTTTTGGCCAAATTTGAGGCAATTTTTCGACAACTTCCAACCACCAAAACCGTCGATTTCGGATACCGTTGGAAAGCCCACTATGTCCTCTTCAATTACCACCAAAAACTCCCCAAAACTCCAAGTGATTGGGCCGGAATAAAACCACGAAGTCGACAAGCGAAAATTGTAAAAATCTGCCCAGATTTTCAGATTTTTTAGACAAGTTTGAGGCAATTTTTCGGCGACATCCGACTACCAAAACCGTCGATTTTGGATACCGTTGGAAAGCCCACAATATCCTCTTTAATTACCACTAAAAATCTAGCATTGAACCATTCTCCTGTGCGATGAAGAGTCCAATTTGTTATTCATGAACTTGAGTACTTATTAGTGACATGTTTAATATGCAATACTAGATTCAATGGTACAATTTCTACTTTTTCTTCGATACCATTCAGTGAAAATTACGTACCAAATATGACAGGGACTTCCTTGTAGGGTTTCTCAAATGGATAAGGCACATTATGCTTGGGAAGAATTATTAGAGGACCATAAAGAGTTGATCTTAGCCATGAGATATGTCCATGCCACCAAAAAGTTCCCCTTTGGCCTACAACAGTGAAGTTATACACATAGCTTTGTCCAGTTTGTATGGGACATTGTGTAATATATGCCGGCCCATCGGCCCATCCACTACGAAGTTGACGAATGCCATGCCTGCAATTATATCGTAGCGTATCAAAGTCTGCTTCACAGAATGAAATTTGTCAAGGGATAAATGAGATGAAATTTATACCAATGGAGGGAGATGTTGCTGGCAACATGGTTCGTGACTTTTATAACTAAACGGTCCCCCTCCCTTGCCACGACTCGAGGTCCAGGAAACTTTCCGTTTACAGTCACCATATTCTTTGTGTGGCACAAGCGCGTCACATTTTGCATCTTGATCTACGAAAGATTGAAGAAAACGTGATAAGCAACAGATTGAAAACATAAAATCAAAGAGGAAACATATATTTATATAGGGCCAAAAATATTTGTATTGTAGTACTATTGTATACATTGAACTCATAATGCCTCGTTATGCCTTGTGCATACTGGGGAACAATAGACAAAGATATCGATGTAATGAAGAATCCAATAGAAGAAAGCATTCTAAATGCAGCTGAACCCATTTTTTGTCGCTTTAATTCTTTCTCTTGCTGTATTGTTGGAAAGACACCACTGAGATTTTATAGGAAGAGTTTGGTTGATTAGGTGTTGAATGTGATATGTTTAGAGAGGAGAAAATTATCGGATTAGCTTTTTATTTTTCTTAAAATTTATTAAGTATTTTTATTATTTTACTGGGACAACTGTAGTTGGAAAAAAAACATTAGAGTGCTATCAAAGACAGTCTGCTCTTTATACTCTTCTCGACCTCTGTCAATTCTTTCTTATTCACGATGTTATGTTTTCCAAACAACCTCGAATTCATCATTGTTGCTAGAAACGATAGGTTCATTGACTCCATTAATCATGTATTTCATATAATAAATTGTGAAATTTTCTTCTAGTGATTAACTATTTACATGGAAATGGAACAGAAATTAATCAAACACGATACAACAGGTGAAAATGCTATTTTAGGGGGGAAAAAAAAAAGAAGAGGTAAGAATGGAAATATGTAAAAAGGTTATATATAGCCTCAGTTTGATTTAGATAAAAGAATACATTTACAAAATTGGTTCACGGATAACACTTAGCGGAAATTCATTGGAAGTTCGGAAAAAGGCAAAAAAAAAAAAACCAGTTTCAATCAGGTTCTGCTATGTAAAAATTCTGTACATATGGCGTTTACCTAGATAAAAATCTAACTTTTATGGTGTGTTTGATTGTAAGGATGAAATTTGTATGAAAAGAAAATAAATTTTAGGCAACTGAATTGTCTAGAATTTATTGACATAAAGAATTATTAATTGAGCCCCTGTTTGACCCATATTAAAATTTTCATTCTCATTTTCAACCACACATTCTTTAATAAAATAATATTTTTCATCACATCAATAACTTTTCAATTTTTTTAACCACTCATTCTCCATCAATATGCTATTTCAAAATATATTCTTCCAAAATAATATTTATCAAACACACCCTAAATATGTTTGATTGATTTAATGGTCACGCGACCAACATTCGGAAAAAAAAAATTACATGAAAAAAATGTCAATCAAACACCTCAAAAGTAGGAACTTCGATGAAAAATATACATTTTTCATTGAAAATAAAGCTAATCAAACACACCCTTAGTAAATTTTGATTAAAAAAAATGAAGAAATGTGTGATTAAAAAATTATATGTCCTATTAATGTATGGTTATAATTAATTATTGATTTTGATTTAAATTTTAATTTAATCAAACGCTAAGAATATTTAAAGTCGATAAACTAAATTCTTATATATAAAATATCTTGAGATTAACAATTTTGTTCATCTTCAAGTGGGGTGAAAAATTGTACCCTTCTTCATTCTAGCATACCCACAATATCAAGGGGACATGAATGGCTATAAATCTTTATGTGTGCTTATCTTTAATTTTCTAAATTAGTTAACGCTCATACGTGCAATTGAGTAGAAATTTGGGTTTAATCAACAAGAAGCTGCTCATAACTGTAGCATGTAAATATTAATTTATTAATGCTTGGAATGAGACATTATGGCTAATCAGACATGTTAATCTTGTACAGATAACCAGTCTTCATTTAATTTCTTTTTTTATGTAATCAGCAATGTCTTCATTTGCAGGCATTCGACTCAGGTCATTTTCTCTTCTCCTAACCCATCGAGAACTCGAAAACAACATCATGCATTACTTTTGAAGCTTCCAAAACTTATGCTTGATGATAAAGCAAATCAATACAAGAGCTGGTCGTGAAGAATTTGTGCTGAAAATGACCTGATTTATTGCATATATGAAATTAAAATTCCAGAAATGACACGTTGAAAATGAAAGATTGGAGGATTTCAGGTTGGTGGCTAAGGCATTTTCACTATTTTAGGTTTCTATGTATCGAAGTAAAACCAGTTCACCATTTTAAGGCACTTTTCTCTCAAGCAAGGAGAAAAATTGTTTTTTCTTTTGTTGCTTAGTGCATGAGCCTTGTGTTATAAGCTATAATGTACGGAAACTTTTAAGATGCAAACGTTTCGTTTCGAAACCAAAACTTTTCAGAAAGATTTTGAAAATTCCAAAAATGTTTTCCAATTTTTATTGAAATTCAAAAATTCTATGAGAGCTTTATGGAAATTGATGTAGTCGGAAGCAATAAAATAATAAAATGAACACACTATTGAAGTTCTATCGATTTCAAATGAATAATGCAACACGATTACTTTCTAATTTATATTGATTCTTAGAAATACCAGAAATCAGGGCATAAAAATCTCTTTGATTCTCGTACGAATACGCATAATTTTGACTCACTAATTTTGCGTATCGAATATTGAGAATTTAAGGGAAAAGAAAATTCTAAAGTCTAATATTATTTATTCAAATTTAACTTCCTTCGCCATTAAGGCAACAATGCTTATAACAACTAAAAGCATAATTAACGATTAATCCTAATTATTAATTAACTGTACTTAATTACTCATCTTAATTACTAACTAATCTAGATAATAAAAAAAATAAAAGTCCTAAAATTGAATTCTAAATTTATCTACATAGTTAACGTGAAAACGAATAAAAATAAAAATAAGAAAATAATTTTAAAAAATTAAGAAAAAAAATCAAAGATACTAGAAATTGTTCAATGTCGTGTCCAATATCTCACTGCTGCATCAGAAACTTTTAGAGAACTTTGCATGAAAAAATCGAGCGCAATTTTAACTTAATTATGGTTTTTGTTATTATACTAAAAGAATTATAATGCTAAATTTCAACATAAACCTAGGTTTTCCCATTCTTGTGCCCCCGTCTATGATATATATTTATCAATTCTGTGAAGAAGTCATGCATTGATTCCACATCTTAAAATTAGTACAGATAAGAATTACATATTAATGAACAATTTATGATTCGGACTTGTTTAATTTAAGATGATAATAATTATATGACAAAATTTTAGTTAAAATAGGTTGATGTGGTATTTTTGTTATTTAGTTTTAAATAGTTTTTCTTAAATTAAATATTAAATTTATAAAAATATAAATTAGTAATTTTTATATAATGTTTCTATAGTGTTCCATAAAAATATAAATTAGTAATATTCACTTTTGTTGACAAAAACTATTGGCCTAAAAACTTTCTCGATGAAACAATTCAAAATGACGTTTAATTAGGTACTAACTGTATGGATGAGTGGGTGCCACGAAATCAAAACTTAAAACTCGGAATCAGACTGACTAGCTATAAACTAAAATCACACAAGAGGAACAAGAAAGAACAATTTTCTTCTCTCACCATGGGGTCTTCAAGCTTGAGTCTTAGCAACGAAGTAAAGGGGATACAAATGACTATTACTGTACGCATCAACAGTAGATAGCTTAATATTTGATATGATCTGTACAAGGCCAAACATTGTTGAAACAGGGAAAGTTGTCAGTTGATACATGATGAATTTTGGTAAAGAGCATTGGAGTACTATAAAGAAGATCCAGAAATATGTTATGTTATGTGTTAAAATTTGGGTGTGACCCAATTTTTTTTTTTTTTTTAAGATTATTATTCTAATTAAAGTGCACATTAATTAGAATCCTATTTGAAATGCAATTGTGAAATTCTATTCAAATTTATTTAGGAAATTCTAATTGAAGTTCTATTTGGAAGCTCACTGGGAGTAGGAATTTGTATTGGACTTGAAGAAAACTTTGAGATGAAGAAAATCAAGATTTTAAAGTAAAGAACCTGAGAGTGGGCGCCGCGACACCATGATAATTTTGGCCTGGAGTTTCGATTCCATCCATGGAACCGTGGCGCCAAGGTGCCACCTGTTTTGCCATCTGCACTATTTGATCTATTTTTCCTTTTCAGACTCTTTTTTAACATTCTACAACTCTACTCTAAGGGTTTGGACGTCCTTTATTTGTTCTCTAAATATAATTGTCTCTTTGTTATGATTTAGTGAAAAGTAAGAAATTGTTAGACAAATCATAAATACATAATCTTTGTATTATTCTCTATATTATAATAAAATCTCCATTATCTGCAAATTACATTGTTCTTGTATTCTTGTGATCAATTACTTCATATTGTGACCCAATCTCTTATCTTTTTCACAACAAACTGATATAAGAGCACTCTATTTTTCATAACAATTGGTATTAGAGCTTTTGGTGTTAAAATTTTTGGAAAGATCAAGATTTTTCGTGATGGCAATAATGAAGTATGATATTCCGCTATTAGATCGCAAAACAAGATTCTCTTTGTTGAAGATAAATATGTGAGCAGTACTCGTTCAAATAGATTTAGATGAAGCGTTGTTGGGATTTGACAAGATGTCCACAACTTGGAGTATGGAATATAAACAACGGAGGGATAGAAATGTCATATCTCAAATACATTTTTATCTTTCAAATAATATTTTTCAGAACATTTTGAATGAGAAGTCAACTGCTGGTTTATGGTTAAAATTGGAGCAATTATGCATTACGAAGAGTCTTACTAGCAAATTGCATCTAAAACAATGTCTATATTCTCATCGTATGACAGAACGTACATCTCTTAAGGATTACATAGTTGCTTTTAAAGAAATCATTACTAATTTGGAGATCTTGCAGGTCAAATATGATGAAAAAGATTTGTGATTGATTTTCTTGTGCTCATTGCCAACCCCATACATGTTTTTTAGAGACATAATTTTATATAGCCATAATACTCTTATCATTGAAAAATTTTACGATACTCTATATTCAAGGAGAAGATAAAGCATTTTGTAGCATTTGGAGATCATGGAGATGGCCACATTGTTAATGGTGATCGTTTGAGTGGCAAGTCAAAATTTAACTTCAAAATTTGTTATTATTGGAAGAAAAAATGGACACTTCGTAATCAATTGTCAAAGTCAACTGCAAATCAACAATCAGAGATTTTAGGAGAAGCAAGTATTGCAAAATATCCCAGTAGTGATGGAAAAACTTCTACTTATATCCGATTACAACTACAAACCAGATGAGATTTGGATTTTGGATACAGCTTGCAATTTTCATATGTTACCCAAATCGAGAATTGTTTTCAACATATGAAGAAGTTTAAAAATAGAGAAGAAATGTGAAATTAAAACTATAAGAACAAAATAGCAACATTCCAGTAGTCGTGTAGGGACATAAAATGAAGAGTGAAGGTACTACAAACTCAATTGAAGACATTTGGAAGCTAAAGAGACCAATTCACAAGTAGAAACGAAAAAAAATGCATTGCGAAAAGTTTAGAGACCAATTTGCACAATTGACCCCAAATTGTCAAGCTACGTGTACGCATAGGCATGCAGGCCATGCGTACGCGAGATCCCATTATAAACCGATGAAGCTAAAATCATTTTATCATGCGTATGCTCAATTTATACTATGCGTATGCATAGCTTTTTCGACTAGGAAATATTTTCTTTTCTTTTTCTTGTATCAACAATTTTTGGTATGATATATTTGCACCCTTTATAACTGGAATCCGTCCAGTACGTGTGGGAACCTTCCTTGAACCTAAAAATCACATTTTACATATTTTGGAGGCTAAGGACAATGTACAATCATCAACCAAAGGCAAATTATATAAGTTTATTGAAGATCCTTATTCCGAAGTCAAGATTCAAGCCGAGAAATTGAAGTTCTCCACTTTCTTCACTATTTCTCGATACAAGTGATGTCCTTTCATTATTTCTCGTATAGTTTAATAATTAGGATGATTAGTTAGGTTTTTTAATTGTATTTGATGAATGTATGAGCCATATTTTCATTTATTTCAATTCAAGACTTTGATTTAGAAATTTTGTGTTATTGTTTGATTGATTTTACATATCCGCTGCACTACTAACTGCTTGATCACCGACTTAGTAATTAGTTGCTTGTTGTAGTATAATAATACTCTCAATGTGTCTAAAACATTGTAAAATAAACATGTGTAGTTAGAATTGAAAATAATCTCTCTCATATATGTAATCTTATTGATAATTTAAACTAAATGCATGACTTTCATATGAATTCGGACTATGAATAGTATCGTATTGTGTTAGTCATATGTTGGTGTATCTTGAAAAATAGCATTTAACATATTTGCTTTATCTGTTGTGAAAACTCTTGAATTGAATATAATGATTATTGGGAATTGAAATAGTTCAAAATAGGATAATATACGAATCCAATACGAGCATTCATAGTAGATTTAATCACTTTTTTATCGTTTTCTTAGAGTAGAATTAGAATAAATACAAAAAAATTACAACTCATTTTATATTACCAAACTTCGAATTTAATCATAGTTATTGAACTATAAATTAGACATTAGTCATCGTGGAGAACGATACTCTTAACTCACAAATCTTATTATTTGTGTAACGATCCAATACACTTATGGGATTCACACAAACAGTCGGGGACGTGGCTCTTCTCATTACATTCTTAAAGCCGATAATTTAGTAACCCCCATGCTTGCCAATTATGCTGTTTCTTCCTCACAAGATTGATTGTAGTCCCCTTTTTATTTCACCGTTTGTTTGCTGTAACTTAGTTGAATGAAAACTTCTATCTTTACCCAAAAAAGAATAAACCTAATACTTCTCATATGTAATTAATATAATTTATTGTACTAGGAAACACGACAAGAGATGGACATATTACTATCACTACAATTTCATTTTCATTACGCACATATTTTAATTTGAGCACTTTTCCCACATATCGTAACCATAAAGAAATTACTAAAATTAAAGATATGTTTGTTACGCACGAGATATATTACTACATTTTTTATAAGAACTTATTTTCTATACAAGCTCAAGAAATGCATTTGTATTTTTCTTCAATAAAGTAAAATGCATGCTATTTCATTCAAATTTAAGAGAAGCTGAACAATAATTTGAATAACATTATATAGCATTACGAGTGCTTAACACCAGTATAGATGATGGTTTAACCAGATGTGTGCTAAACATTAGTGATGCTACATAGCATTATTCAGATTGTAATGGGAATACATAACGAACTTAAAAAATAATGGTGTTGGTAATTTATAATAACTATTGGCCCATACAACATTTCTTCTATTTGTCAATTTGGTTAAGCTTCCCAAGACCATTGCAACGAGCACATACAATCTGCACCTGATCTTTCCTGGCTGCATTTGCCCTCAAGGTTGATCCTGCTTTCCTCACAAATCCTGCTCCATCACACTCTGGGCACCTGAAATTGCCACCAATTTGGATGAATAATCAATAAATATTGATAAAAAAATGCTAAGAAATTAACTTTCTCACGTATCCTTGCGGGAGAAGACTATCGGGAAGGCTGTTCCAAGCAGCGCCACTGCAGCAGCACCGGCTATCAGATAGGTTGTTCCTTCGGCTGAAACGTCACCGACGGCGGCAACCACTGGCAATGGCCTTCTTTCTTTGTTTTTGAGATTTCCAACTTTAGAGGCCAAAAATGATGGAGAATCAAGCAATGTGGATTGCTTTGTGAAATTTTTAGAGAAAAGAGTCTGAAGTGGAGCTATGGATGCCATTTCTGAAAGATACTGAAATTTCACTTCACTTTAAGCACAGTTTGGGATAATTGTGAAGCAACGGATATGGATAAGGGGAGACCACATCGTAACTGAGTTCTTCTAGTTTAAATGGATAAGCATGGTCCCACGTTAATTAGTTTTCAGTTGTAAGTTTCTATCAAGGTCCAAAGATATAAATCTGTGAATCTGTGGATAAAATTAAACATTAGCATGGAAAATCCATGACCTTTCCAACCTATCCACTTCTTGTTCAGAACCCGCTTAACTATCTGTGAAGCAAGACTTATCGTAACTACAGTAGTTGATTGCACTTTGAGGTCAAGTTATCGTAGTATAACAGTAGTTTAAAAATCGTATTTTCAAATTAATTCTTAAAATGAATATGATACATATTGGACCCGAACTCGACCTCAATGGCCCAACCTTGGCCCACCAAGTTCGGTCATTTCCAAGGTCGGGGTCGAGCTCGAGGCCAAGCACAACAATAGGTCGGGTCTTCATCCCTACCCCACGTATCCTCTTTGACCTTGATGTACAACTCTTATAGATGATAGTTCTATTAAAGTACAAACTTCTAATTCATTACAAATTTTACTCAAACTCAAATTGTACACTTCTGACATAACACAAACACCTTGCCAGGATAAGGGTTATGTGAAGTTGGATCCTTTTAAGAATCTATCTTCAAACATCTATAAATATGTAACCCTACCTCATTATTCATGTACGTTATTCAATAATAGTTCAGCCTACAATATTTTGTGTAATTCCTCTTTCTGACTTAAGCATCGAAGGGGCGGCGAGAACACACCTCGACGCTTTTGTTTCAGGTATTGAAGACTAAATTGTGTTGAGTTCTATCAGCCAGTTCGAGTTCATTCAGGTGCAACTTTTGGTAGCATCAGAATAAAACCTTTTTATAGATGGGAATTGACGGTATGGTCAGTTGTTACATTTTTTAACTAGCATCTAGTTGAAAAGTATAACAAATTGTGGAGCTTGGTACTTTTTATTATACATGTTGCTCATAGAGAGGTTGCATCCATTTGTCGGCTTTGGCGCTCTAGTTGTGAGCTAGTCGCCTCCTTGTTCTAGACTAAGCGTTATATCTCCATGCTGACAGGCTTCTTTGTGTAGATTGGGATGCACATTTTTAGTCCCTCTCGAGTGCTTTGGATGGTTCTCTCTATGTTGCCTAAACCTTCTTAGCTAAGTTTCAAGACTTTAGATGGAGGTCTTCAAGCTCGATCACTCGCATAAGTGACATTGTATAGTTATTCCTCCCTCAAAATTTAGACTTCAATTTGAAATGTTAGTTTAGATCCCCATGTCCATGGTCAGCCCTAAAATTTTGAGGGCCTTAGACCAACTTTAAATATGAGGCTTCTATATAAATATGAAAAAATATATAAAATAACAAAACATAATAATTTTTATTAAATAAAAAATTCAAAGTTATAAAATAATAATCTATTCTTTCAAATTTTTAAATTAAAATTACTCTCTAGAATTTTTGATAGAAAATCAACAGTAATACTATTTCAATAAATTTATTTTAGAACTTATTTTTCAATAGACACCATGATATGCATTCATTTTTTTTGGTGACATTGTTAATCAAATATAGAATTTTATCAACTTCGCCTTTTAGAAGCCTATGTCGACGATACAATTGTAAACATTCTTAAGTGAGACATTTCTATGGGAAAAAAATCATAAATCAAGTATTAACTATCATTAAATCAATTTTCAGGCCTTAAGTTTAACGTATACAATTGTAAAAATCAGGTATTAAGTTTTAAAAAGGCAAAAACTAGGTAGTTACTTAATTAATTAAATATATTAAAATCAAAATTATGCATTTCATGGTCACATATGCATATTTATAGATCACAACTTATTTATTGGTCACATTTTATCAAATTAATTGTTCACAAATTATTTTTCGATCACAAATCAGAAAATATATAAGTCGCAGATTTTTTTATGATCACATATTAAAATTTTCATAGATCACAAATCAAAAAATTAATATGTCACAAGTCACAAATCACAAATATTATGAGTTACAACTTATTAGTTAGTCACAAATTATCAATTTTTTTAGGTCACAGGTAATTTCATGGTCACAAATTATCTTTTCCATTGGTTGCAGATCATTTATTGGTCACAGATTAACCAATTTAATAGTCATAGTCTACCAATAATTGATGAGCACAACCAACACTTGCGACCTCCGATAGCACCGCTGCACTAGAACCACCACCACTGCCGCCAAACCACCATAATCGCCGCCGCCGCCACAACAGCACCACTACAAACAAAACTGTCACCACCAGATCCAACAAAAAAAAAAAATCTTAAACCCGCCACCACCTCTGTCAACGTTGCTACCACCAATTCTACCACCATCTCTGTCGCTGCCAACAACACAGACATCACCACACCACACCACACCACACCACAAACCCGCCACCACCTCCACCTCTACCATCATCGATGCCAACACCACTATAGACATCACAACCACATTACACCACCACCGCTGCCACCAGATCGCACCAGCTGAGAGACATCACACCACCATAACCGCAATATCCACCACCACAAAATCGCCACCAAACAAAACACCACCCAGATCTAGTCGCGGTGCTTCGCCTTTGAAGAGACGTTGGAGTGGATGGATCTGCTTCGAAAATACTGTTGCTTCTTCGCGCCGCATCAAACACAAGTCATTTCACATCCGGGAGGTTTAGATAGAGAAGTAGGTCGGTGATAGGGAGAGAGAGAGGACAATGAGACGAGAGGTTTTGGAAAAAGACGAGAGGAGGGAGAGAGAGGTGAACGGCAGCGTCGCCGACGAGCTACCGTCGTGCCATTCACAGAGGAGATGGGGAAGGCAGGAAAACGAGAGGTGAGAGATGTAGCGGAGGGGAGGGGAGGGAGTAGTGTGTGTTAAAATTAGGGTTGTTAATTGGGGATATTACCTTATTTTTGAATAAATAAACTTTAGAGCTTATTTTTGAAAATAAATTTTTAAACTCCTGATTTGTAATTTTCCCCATTTCTATTGTTCAAATTCTGCAACCTATTGTCTCTATGGGCCATTAACAAGAGTGGGCTTAATCCGGTCCATGCCACGGCCCACCGACAGTCCGACAATAGTAGGTCAACGTTCCATGATTGACTTTTCTTAGGTCCAATAATCCCAGATTCTTCAAGTTTGTTCTTGAAGCCCCTTGAATAATTTCCCAACCGAACATATAAATACCTAAATTTTGAGAAAACTCATTCATGTATTGGTCTTAATTCCATTACACTGTATTTCTGCATATTAGTTTCGACGTCAATCTTCACTGTTTCAGTTGTTTAATTAGTAATGGCAAAGGAGGGTCCTAATTGGGAAGGCTTACTTAAATGGAGTCTCTCTCACTCTGATGGCAACGGTTCTTCCCCTCAACTAAGGTATTACATAATTGGTTTCATATCTATGTTCTAGAAAATATATTTGGAACGAAGACTTTCTTTTTCTCATTTGGGATTTAGAATTATTGTTTAAAGTGAACGAAGTTAATGAGTTCTTATTCTTATTTTGTGGGTTTAGCGAGGAGGATAGAAAATGGTTCATGGAGGCAATGCAATCACAGACTGTTGATGTTGTAAAGCGAATGAAAGAGATAACTCTTGTTATGCAGACTCCAGATCAGGTTTTGGAGTCACATGGTGTAACTCCTCAAGATATTGAAGGTATTTATGAATGGAAATTTATGTTTCCGTGTTTATTTGTATGAATCTATTAGAAGAAGATTGGATTTTTACCGATTCTTGCGACTGCAGATATGCTGGATGAGCTACAAGAGCATGTGGAGTCCATTGATATGGCCAATGGTGAGTTTATTTTGTGCATAGTCTGTTTCTAGGCTATTTTTCGCCATTTTTATGGAGGAATAAAGAGTATTTAGAGTTATACCAGTTCTCTCTAGAATTTTGAAGAGTAATTATCGAAAAACAGAGGGTTTAAATTGAATATCTCTGTTCACTTTGCCCGTTTCAGTTATTATTGGGTAAATTTATAGACAGGATGTTCTTGACGAAGTGAGATGTCAAACTTACTTTGAACCATAGAAGAAAATGGGGGTTATCATGATAGTGCAGCTTTACTACCTGTCCTTTAGAAGATTAAAAACTGGTTCTGAAAGAGTTGGAATTATTTTTCCTATTGAGGTCATCCGCAGATATATACCTAAAGCCTAGTAATGAGCTTCACTCTTGTTTGATGCATTGTATAATTTGTATTTGAAGCTCTTGACGAACTGAGCTAGAATCTAAAAATTTGAAACGCTGACTTTGATTCTAGGAGACTGCTTGATATTCTTTAAATGAAGACTACAGCAGATCTTTGATCCACGTGAAATGATGTTGGTGAGTGGTGACATTAGATAGAGCAAGATTTATGTGCTATGTTATGTGAAGAAATTACCATGCATACTAGAAAGAGGACCTGTTGATTTTCCATTGCATAAAGTGGTTCCAATAGGGAAACCTTTTAAGCTCAAAATAAAAGTCAAAGTAACTGTAGCATATTTGTATAGAATGGTGACTGATATTAATATTTTAAATGAAGGGTTTGCACTTCTGAACCTGTATGCAATTTTATCATTCCACTGTTTGTTTAACACCTTGGTTGGTTGTATGCCTTTGCCAGATCTTCACTCGATTGGTGGCTTGGTACCACTTCTTGGCTACCTGAAGAACTCGCATGCTAACATCAGACAGAAAGCTGCAGAAGTTGTGAGTATGATTGTTCAGAACAACCCTAGAGGTCAACAATTGGTCATGGAAGCAAATGGCCTTGAACAACTTTTGTCAAATTTTACTTTGGATCCTGATGTCTTGGTCCGCACCAAAGCACTCGGTGCAATCTCATGTGTGTACTCCTTAGATTTCTCTGTTTTTTAAAAACTTGAGGCACCTTCCTGCATTCCTTATCTTGATCTATTAATCCTGCTAAATTATTTTTCATTTTTTGTTACGTTCAGCTCTAATCAGACATAACAAGCCCGGGATTTCTGCATTTCGCCTTGCAAATGGTTATGCAGCTCTAAGAGATGCGTTGAGCTCTGGCGATGTGAGATTTCAAAGGTATCTCCCTTTGTGTTTAGATATAATGTCTTTTTGTTTCGTTATTATATGGTTACTCTATAAGACATTTGGTTGGTTCCCTTTCAGATTCCCATTCATGGCCATTTTCTGCTTCTTGTAGGATGAAAATGGCTTGATGTCAAGTGTTAAATGAGACTGAGATATATCTTTTTCTGTTCTTGGTTTAAGCCCTAATAAGCTATAAGAACCCAAAAGAAACAGTTATTTTGTTTTACAAAAGCTAGAGCTAAAATCTGATTCAGATATGCAATTTCAAGAAACTCTGATATGGATCCATGATTTTATTCATCTGTATCATTTTATATCACATTAATTCTTTTGTTCCAAATTATTCGCATTATTTTTCTGACACAGCTAATAATTTGCAGGAAAGCCCTTAACTTGATCCATTATTTATTAAACGAGAACCGTTCAGAGTGCCGTATAGTGACTGAGCTCGGATTCCCTCATATATTGATGAACCTTGCATCGAGTGAAGTTGCTGATGTACGTGAAGCTGCACTTCGGGGCCTCCTTGACCTAGCTCAAGACAGACTGGGAAAGCTTGACAGTATCCCAAATGAAGAATATGACAGATTGAAGAAAATTTTACAAGAACGGATAAAGGAAATTGGGAAGATGTCTGCCGAAGACTTAGGGGCTGCCAAAGAGGAAAGACAGCTTGTGGACTCTCTCTGGAGTGCCTGCTATAATGAACCATCTTCCCTTCGAGAGAAGGGGCTTCTTGTCCTCCCAGGAGAAGATGCGCCTCTACCAGATGTTGCCAGCAAGCATTTTGAACCACCACTCAGGGCATGGGCTGCTAACCAAAATCCTGATACAAAACCTAGTTCTGAAAAGAAGGAAAGTTCACTGTTAATTGGTCCGGGACAATCTACTGACAATGCTTCCTAGCGCTGTCACTGGAGTGGGTGAATTGAGAAATCCCTCTCCTCAGTTTTGCTTTTCTGTTTTGTTGAAAAAAAGATGTTCGGAAATCTGCTACCTTTGTCTTACAAACAAAATCGCAAATTTTTCTGCTTTCTTCCTTAGATCTTTCTCCTGCAAAAGCAAATTATTTCCTTATTTGTGTGAATGTTATGTGATTATTATAATGTTATGTTGAATTTTGTGAAGTAGCAAATTTTGTTGCTCGTGAAGTTGTCCAATTTCATAGTTTTAATAATTTACTTTGTCATGAACTCCTATGAAGGATGACTTGAAGTACTATTTTATAATTTCTTTTATGAGCTCGATTGAATTTTTTTATCAACAGACTGAGCAGTAAAATGCTTTCAGCTAGGTTTCGTATTCCTACTCAGATATACTTGACAGATGGTTAGACCGTTCTATTTTTTCATAAAATTCTGTCTCAAGAAGGAACAGATTTTTGATATTCCAAGTTCTGAATTTGCGAGTGGAATCGAGCATAAATTCAGGGACAGATAACTTGCTCTGAGAGTGGTGATCCTGGCAGTCAACTGTTAGTCCATATATCAGGTTAGTATCTTATTATTAAGAATAATCAGAGTAACAGTTTGAGTATATTTGGTATCCTTTTGATTTAACTTTGATTTGTTATTATCTCGAGTTTTTCATGTGTTTTCCATTTTCAAGCTATATTCTTTGTAGCTGAGAGAGTTGAGTAATTCTTTATCAGCTATTCAGTTCTCTTACAGAAGTAAAACACATGCTACAACATAAGAAAGCTACGTTAGCTATTCAGCTGATTGAACATTTTTAAACCCAGTTGGACCACTTATATCTCAAACTCCTTTACAACACACTTTATGCAACAGTCTAAAATTATTCGATTTCTTCATGTGATCCTCATTTCGGAGGGCAAAAGGTGATAACATACCGTGAAGCTCTGCATTTATTAAGACTTGAAGAATCATCAAATGCATAACTATAGGCCTTTGGACATATAGCCTTGAACAGATTTGCAAACACAGTTGGTTTGCAGGTTTTAGGATTAGCATACTCTCCTGTGCAACAGTACTTGGCTGACTGCATGGCCAAGCACGCACTCTTGCACCCAATCACCTTGTCTCCAGCCCTAACCTCCAATGCCGATGGACAACATATGTTCAAATCGACATCGCATGAAGCCACACCACACCCAATTCCACCCCCGACAGGCTTCATTGTTACAGGCAAATTGAAGCCATCAACTAAACTGACATCATAATAATGTAGGGGTGAAGTTGATGTCCCTAGTGTCATTTCCACCACGGTTGCAGGTGGTACACCTCCTAATCCCTGGCATTGTAATTGACCACTACAGTCTCCGGTGGCACACGACCCTTTTCCATATGCATTGAAGTTGCAGTTTTGCCTTCCCCATATTCTTCCCGACCATTTCTCTGGCACATCGATGACTACTTCCTCCCCACTAGTTAGTGGAAATCCACCATCTTTCAGGGTTTGCATGCCTGCGCTGCCTTGTATTCCGGGCCATATTCCTTCCTTACAGTTGTTCACCAATATGAGTTGATTCCCAATCCCACCTGCAAATTAAAAACGTGGAGATAAAAGAATTAGAAAAAGGTCAATTGTTCGATTATGCAAGAAAATTTAAGCTTCATTTTCATTTATTTCGCGGTATTCGGACAGGAAAAACAATGAATAAAACCAAGGTAGAAAAAACTGTACTTGTGACCGTGAGAAATAGGAATAAGCTGACAATTAAGGATATGAACATTTAGAATAATTTGGAGTCGAGGAGAGGAATTGCAAGGGCGATAAGTTTTCTACCGTTGTGCACTTGCGATGATCTGAACATATGTTCACAATTTATAGAACAAACCCTTTGTGGAGAAGAAATAATAGTAAATTGTCGTCCACCAATTTGGGTTTCTTTATTTTCTTCTTTTTTTACGCTTTTCCTTTTTAGGCAAATGAGTATATACATTGCTTCTGATTGGGGATTTGTACTTTCATCATAATAATATTATCTGAATCTTTGTCTTTACACAGACCAAGCTGCCTCTTTATCTCCAGCACACCCTAAGTTCTAACCAGATTAAGAGTCTATTTGAAAGAACTTCTGCTTCTGCTTATACTTCTTGTAAAAGATGTTTATGAGAAAGTTATCTCAAACAAGCTTCCTCTATAACTTTATCTCTATTCTTATATTTATTTACCCCCCAAAAATTTAATTTAATGGGGGGCTATCTGTGTCTAAACACTTTCAGAAAATTATTCAAATATGTTCAGAACTTATTTCTTAATCTCGAAAGTATTTTTTTTTTTTTTGTAAAAGCTCTGCCAAATAGGTCCTAAAACTTTGTGAGAATTCATTAAAGCATCAATCTCAAAATTAACTACCGTTAATTAACACAATCAATTCATTAATAGAATATCTTAAAGTCGTCGTATGCTATTTAGACTTAAACGATGTCAAAATTATTATCTTGTCCTTTGTTTCCAACATTTTATCATTGCTTGTAGTCAAGAAAGAACTTATCACGTCGAATCTTGTTATATATGGATAGCGATTAACCATGTTACGCAAGTAGCCACTAGCCACTTCAAATTTATTGCTAAAGTGGCTTTGTTGATGAATAATTTATTGAAAAAGGGTAGAATAAACAAGGGGCAAGTTGAACATAACTTCGTAGTGAGATATACTGTTAACGTAAACAATCTTGGTGATCATGCAAAGAGAATCTATGGAATATATGAGCACCATTATTTTTTTGTCCTAGTCCCTAGCTTTATATGACTTGTGGTACAAGTATCCTTCTCACAGTGAAAGCAGAAGTGACAAAATTTATCTTAGTGAGACTGCATGTCTGTGAAAAGAGTAAAGCTCAAGTGTTATAACAAAGTATTGGAAGTTGTCGTGGGGGCAAAGCTATTGTGTCAGGTGGTTGTAGTATCGATCTCGTTCATGCACAAACAAGTCAGATAGAAAATGATGATACTATTATAAGGGGTTCAAGTATTTCTCAACATATTTCGACAATATTCTTATTTTTCGTTTTACTTCGCAATACTTCAATGTGTTTTAAATCTTTGAGATCCTTAAAAGAGTAGTGTTTCAAATCTTAAAACGGAGCATGTGGTTTAATTCAATGTTATGTGAAGAACTTTATCACGGCATGAAATTTTAATTATCCTTTCTTGTTGAGGTGAATAAATAAAAACAAAAACAAAAAAAGTGGATGGTTCCATTGTAAAGGAGAAAGTATTTAATTGTATGTTGAAAGTTTGAAAACCTCTTAAATAAGTTGTTTCTTTCTAAATGAAAAGGTCACAAACTATATAATTTGACATTTTTTAATAAAAGATTTTATAAGAATTTTACTTAACTATATTAAATCGCAATCCTTGAAAAAGAATAAAAAAAAGATAGACAATTAGATGAAATTCAAATATACTAACAATAAATACACATTTCATAAAGATTAAATGATCTTTGTTTCTGTGATATTAAATATGGAAACAAATCAATTAAAGGACATAAATTCAAAAAATGACAAAAATTAAAAAAATTGATACACGCTCAAAAAAGTGAGAAACACAAATAAAACCTTAGAATAGATCAATGGATTGTTGATTTTCTTTTACATGTTGTCTATTTGTTATTATGTTTCATTCAATTAACTAAACATAAAATGTAGCTTCATTTTAGAAACACAACACCTTATAAGTTGAAAGTGACATAAATTAACAAAAAAATGACAGAAATTCAAAAAAGTGACAAATAAACGAAAAAAAAGGTGAAAAACACCATCAAAATCTTAGTATCGATCTGTTGGATCTACTACATGTTGTCTCTTTGTGATTAAGTATCACTTGTATTAACTAAATATGGAATATAACTTCATTTTAGGAAAATAACAACTTATAAGTTGGACGTGAAAAATTCAAAAAAATGACAAAAATTCAAAATAAGTGACAAATTTATGTCTCTGTGTCAATAATTCAAGAATGTAATTGAAAAGTTGGAAATCCTATCAAATAAATTAGTTGGTGACTTTGACTTAAATTAAAATCTTTAATAAGGGATAAATAAAAGTTAATAAACCCAAATAAAGCTAAAATGAACTCTACATGTTAATGGATTCATCGTTATATCCCTACCAACAAAGAGGAGAAGACGACGCCTCTCTATCCATTTACAGATTCTTTCTTCATTCATTTTTTTAAGTTTATTTGGGAGTCACTATTTTCATCTACCATTTTTATATATATTTAATCACTTTCTTTTTTAATCTGTATTACATTTCTAATTTTATATGAATTTACTAAAATAGATAAGAATAAAAATTAACAAATAAAATCTATAACTCTAAATTCATCCACTAAATTTATCCTTATTAAATTCTTTTGAATATTTTATATTTTTTTTGAACTTAACTTTTAACTAAAACTCTATATATTCATAAAATATCTTTTTCAATTAAACTCAAAACAAACACCGGAAGAAATACCATTATAACAAATACATACTGATAAGTGTAGTTTCTACATTTATTCGGGACCCTAAATCATGATATTTTATTGTCTTTTGGATAAAATTTTACCCATTTTATGTTATATTGTATTTTGTATGTAAAAATTTATGTTTGATGAAGAATTGAAGAAAAGAATGCAAAAGTGACGAAAAATGACAAAATTCAAAAATGAAACATTTAAGAGAAATATTACATTAAATGGGTCTATATAGACTTGCATTGAAAATTTTAATTGAAGACTAAAACTAAACCTACACACACATACACATACACACATATATAGACATAGAGAGGTGGAGAATAGAAAAGAAACGCCCAAAAGGGATAGAAAAGAGAAGAAGAAGAAGAAGAAGAAGAAAGAGGAGAGAAGCAAAGAAGAAAGGGAGAAAAAAGTCAAAAAGAAAAAAAAGCGAGTAGAAAGGAAAGACAGAGAAAAGAAGAAGAAAAAAG